TAGGAGGTGTAGGGCCCAGGATGGACGTGATGAATCCTTCATTTCCAGGACTAATCTGTCACTTCCAGGACTGACAACGCCTGGCTCTGGCCAATCACACCGCCGACCTGCGGGGCCCCTACTAAACTGCAGGGCCTGGAGCGGTGGCCTCAATTTCTCATACCCAAGGGACGGCTCTGGTTGTCACCAATAGAAGGTTATTGGGCCCAGGTGCTGAGGGGAGCCCAGACTGATTCTCTCCTACCCCCCTAGCCAGCTCCTGGATAATTTAGGAGCACTTCTGCCCAGTGTGGTAGCTCCCAGCACTGGGAATAGCCATATTTTGTACCACAGGTGCCAACTCCGTGGGTGCTCTGGGGCTCAAGCCACTGTGTGGCGGCTGGGGAAGAGTGGAGAGCAGTGGGCGGGTGAGACCTCAGGGGAGGGGTTGGAGCAGGGGGCTTTCTCCATGTTTAATTTTCAAAGGCCTGTTGCAAAAAGTGGAGGTTAGCACTTTTGAAAAAAGGTCACATCTTTTATAATGGAAGGTGGGAGACAGCCTAAGTATGGCGGCATAGGCGCTGACTTCTACGGGCATCGGTGGGAGCTTGACCCCTGTCTGCCCTGGCCCCGCCCTGACTCACCCCTGCCCTGACCTCATTCCAACCCCTTCCCCAAAGTCCCTGCCCCAACTCCACCCCTTCCCTGTCCCTATTCTGACTCCTTCTCCCAATTCCCAGCCCAGGCCTGCCTCTTCCCCACCTCCCCCCTCCCTCCCTGAGTGTACTACAGCTGTTGGCGGCAGCAAGCGCTGGGAAGTAGGTGGAGCAGGCGGAGGTGAGGTGGGGTGGGGAGCTTAGCTGCTGTTGGGTGCAGAGGTGCTCCACCCCTGGAGCACCACAGAGTCAGCACCTATGAGTATGGAGGAAACTGGTAGGAACCCCTCAAAATGTATACAAAAGCATGGGGCCCCCTCCTCCACAAAGGGAGTTAGGTGCCTAAAGCTGGGTTTCAGGTGCCCAAGCCCCAGGTTTTTGGTACCACAACCCCCGTGTGACTGTTGCTTAACCCTGTGGGTGCCTAAATTCACTTGGCACCTAAAATTTTGCTGTAAAAGGCTCCTAGGTGCTTGTGTCTGTCTCTGAGCATGTGCACTGCTGCCTCACTTCAGGCATCTGTAGGAGTAGCTCATGTCTAAAATGCAGGACAATCCACAAATGGGGAAGCTAGGAGTTCCTCTGCCTAGTGCCTGCAGCACTAGATCTGGTAGGTGGGGTAAGAGCCCTCCTCCTGCCTCAGGCCCCATTAAAAAAACCAGGCTCAGGAGGTGATGCCACCACTTTTATAACTTTTAGCCCAGAAACATAGGAGAATCATCTTCAATTCCCACCTAGGTCTGAGGGGGGGCAAAAGGAGTTGAACAGGGGGCAGGCGTTAAACTTGCCTGCTTAACCACAGGACTCTTCTGTTTCACTTTGGATAAATACTTGAATAGTCATTTAAAAATGAGCATGAGAAAGACTCTACACCCTGGGAAGTAGGGCCTAGTTCCCTTGCAGATGGGGGACTTGAACCTGGGTCTCCCACATCCTGAGTGAGTGTTCTAACCCATGGATTAAAAGCTATGAGGGCAGTAGTACCACCTCTTCTGGCATTTCTCACAGGAATGGCTTAGATGCCTAAACCACCTGACTCCAGGAGACCGTTCCTCGATGTGGTTCACAAGCACAGACAGATGCCGTCCCTGCAGCTCAGATTAAGGTGCCTAACTCCATGAGAGGGGTGGGGTTTAGGATGTACTTCTCTTGTCAGCATCTTTTATTGGCTAGTTTAGGTGGCTCCTCACCAAGCAAGCTGTTTTTTTGTTTTTTGCAGGGATCCTATTCCTAGGCCTCCTATCTCTCCCCATGCATTGTACAGGGAGCCTAGGCACCTTTATGGAGCCCACTGTTGTTCCACTGATTTTCTTGGTGTCTAATAGTTAGGCATTGCACTGCCTATGTCTCTTTGTGCTTCCAGGCCATAAATTAACATGGTGCTTTACAAACCTAGGGCTAGTCTCCACTAGAAGAGCAACATAAGTGCACTGATGCAGCTATGTTGCATAATCTAAATCTAATGCAAGATGATGTAGGAATTAAGAGTGGAAAGAAGGGAGCAGGGGTGGATACAGTAGCTTGATTTGGAGGGATGGGTATTTGTTTCAAGGGCAGCATGATAGGTGACATTAGACAAACCTAATTGTAAAGTGCTGCAATACTTAGGTTTAATGCTATGTTGCAATTTATGCCTATTTTCTGTCTTACTTCTTCCCTCCATCTCTCAGTTCCCATACAACCAACATTACTGTCTCATCTCACTTATTTTCCACCCCTTCCTCCCCCCATCTAGCTCACGTTGCTCCCACAGGCCTAGGCTTCAGCCAAGGACTTTCTGTTCTATGTACATGGAGGCATACAGTATCCTCCCATTTTTTTGGTTTCTTCAACGATATCTGGGACAAGGAGGCCCTAATGCACTGTGTGCACATATTCCCAAGCCACTGCCTCTTCTCCTCTATTGAGAAACCTCCAGGATACATCTGAGCATTACCTAGATTAGTTGCAGTATTGTTGTAGCAATCTTAGTCCCAAGATAGTAGAGAAACAAGGTCAGTGAGGTAATATCTTCAACTTTCATTGGTGAAAGAAGATTTCAGGCTACACAGCACTCTTCAAGAGCTTGTGTCTCTCACCCACAGAAGTTAGTCCAATAAAACAGTGGTTCCCAACCTTTCCAGACTATTGTACCCCGTTCAGGAGTCAGATTTGTCTTGCATACTCAAGTTTCACCTCACTTAAACTACATGCTTACAAAATCAGACATAATATATGTGTCTAGTACACTTACTGAAAAATTGCTTACTGTGTCATTTTGTCTGTATGAAATTTTAATTTGTACTGACTTCACTAGTGCTTTTTATGTAGCCTGTTATAAAACTAGGCAAATGAGTTGATGTAGGCCCTGGAAGACTTATGTACGCCCCGGAGTACACATACCCCTGGTTGAGAACTGCTGCAATAGAAGATATTGCCTTACCCACCTTGTCTCATTACATAGATGAGATTTTTTAATAGCCAGAGGTCTGGTGAGAGGGAAGGAAGTGCTATTTCTGAGTTGAAACATGAATACCTACCAAAACATCCCAACTCACGAAAACAAAGAATTACAAAATGCATGTATGAAGACAGATGAGTAGCAGGCTGGATCACAAGATTGGAAACTGGTGAGAAAGGGGAGTATCAAAGAGTTGGGGCAAAATATTTCTGTAAGCCTGGCTGCTGATGGAACACCCACAGTTGCAAATGTCAATGACTGGTCTGGTGCAAGTCTCACTGATTAGTCTAGTAGTTTTAAAAAAAAAAAAAAAGCCACTTTCACTCCTCAGAAAGGTTACAATTCTTCCAGGCCTCAGAAGCTATGAAAAAAATAAGCAATATACATCAATAACCTACACTGATTTAAATAACTTGGGCTCTATTAACTAACAAGATCATTGCACTCTTGTACAATGAGATGAACTAAGGTGCTCAAGCTAAAAAGTTTAACCACAAAGGGGCCACAGACAGTGTTTTCAGGGAAGTTACTTTCTCTCTTGCTCCACAAGAACCACAATCTGAGAGTCTACACAGTGCAAGGCTTATTTATCAGGCTTTTTGGGAAGGGGAGATGGAAGATTCTTATTGCAGAAGCACCCAAAGGCCTCCACTCAAACTATTGCACCAGGTGCTGAATGTACAATTAAGGCACTGGAATAGGACTAAATCTTGGGTTCTCTGCCTGTGTGGCCTATGGCAAGTCACTCTGTGCCTCAGTTTCTCCATTCGTAAAATGGAGATATGCTTCTCTCACAAGGTTATGAGGATAAATCAGGATAGGTTTGGGAGATCTTATGGTGACAAGTACTACAGAAAACCCTATGCTTAACATTTAATTCTACGAATAAATAGCCTCCAAGACACCAAACAAACATTTTGAAAAATCCAAGTAAGTGCAAAGGAAACACACTGCCTATCTTCAGTTTAATTAAGCTTTGTACAAAGTTAAACTGCTGATGTCTTATGTATGACCTTCTACAAATCTAGCAGTGCTGAATCATGCACATTTGCACTTATACTCTAGTGAAACCCCTGTCATCCTGCTGTACACATTAGTGGCACATGTACATCTAAAGTCTCCTCCATCTACAGCTCTTCTAAATGGGACACCTGCCACTTATTAGACGTCACCTTTCAGCCCTAGTGAGTAGTACCAGAAGAAGGCTATCCAAACTTGCATTTATCAGGCCTTCCTTTTTTTTTTTTTTAAATGCATCAAATATAACCAAGCTTGGCAGGGGTGGGGACTTTATACAAGGCAAACAATATGTTGCATCTAAAATATGTTTCCATGAATGTTTAGTAAATCATGTTTTCACAGAATACCATGAACTTTTGTAAAATCCAGAGTTGGACATTTTGTAAATGTCAACATCCACCTGCAGTTTGTGGTGGATTTTCTACATCTTTCAAAGGTTCTTCTGATTTCGGAGACATTGCATAGCTGCAGGATAGGAAACACTTATGGAATTGATAAATCTTTCTCACAACAGAAGCAACAAAAGGAGACCACTGGATTTACAATTAGCCAAATGTTCCCTGCACTGTGTGTGGAGAAGAGTATGTAAGCGAGATGTTAAGTGGATGTTTCCAGGTATCAGCTGCCACACACTATCCACTCATTTAAATTGGCCCGTTTTGCCATTACTAATTATAAATTTCACTACACTTGCTAATTTATAACAGGCAAAGACATTTATTTGCCTCTTATAAATTAATTGTGTAAGTGAGCATGGAGGTTGTGTACAGCACAGTCTTGTACAGCAAATGACTAGCAGAAAATACATACAGGGCTCTGGTTTAAGGGTTACCAGATACTATAACTACATGTGCATAAGTTTCTCTGTCAAGCCACCAGGGGTCACTAATACCACATTACAAACATTCCACAGCATGGTATGTAACTTTATTCTTCTATCATAATAATTTAAAGTATTTACACACTGCACAGTCACTCTTTTACACAAACATATACTTACTGGTATATCCATGAACCACATCTAGGAAGTTTTGCAAAGACTGACACATTGTGGGGTTTCCAAGCATAAAAATAAAATCTGAAGCCTTCTAAAAAAGAGCCATTTGGAGTGTCTGTGAAAACCAGTGTTCCCTCTAAGCGTAAGCTCTCCCCAGAGACCATTCACTAAGCTTCAAAATATCCAGATGTTTGGCATTAAATAAAGCTCTTGGCTAGCGTGGACTTCAAGAACCAACATGTGCAAATAACATTTTCTCAAGAAATCCCACAGCAGGAACAAGAAAACGCTTTCAAGGAAGCACTACGTTTCTGAAATTTTACTTGTCTATGGGGCTCACAATTCACCACTAGTGTATATACAAGTATTTGTGGGACTGGGGGTATGGGAAACTAGCTAGTAGACCTGCATCATTTACCATGTACTTGTACTGGGGCATCAACTCTAGGCTCAGCCACCACAATTTTCACAATACTTTTAAACTCAGTGTACCAAACGGTCTCCCCCCCCACCACACACACACACACTATGTTAGAGCAGCAAAACAGGAAAGCTCCCCTCCTCTACCCAATTCTACAGTAGGCCAGAAACCACATTACCTAGAGCAGTTGGAAAACCATTTCCAGCTAACTCAGTCTACACTGGGTGGGCAGGCAGAAAGGATGGGGCAAACTGTCTGAACAGATTAGACAGGGTTCTTGTCTAGTACACAGTTCTGTCTTCCACACTGGCCAGCCAAACCCAGCTAGCTTAACTGGTTTTCAAAATAGCATTCCCAGCTCAATGTAAGCGGCATGTAAATCTTTCACCCATTCCAGTGTCAAGTTAAGTCTCTCTGCCAACAGAGAGTCCCAGCATATGCTAAAAGGAGACCATCCCTAATCTGTCTAGCCCTTCATCATTCCATGCAAAGAGAGGAGCGATTTAACTTCCAATTACCACCTCTCACACTACCCAACGAACAAGCACTTAGTTAAGTTTACTTGCTGAACTCAGAGTAATGAAAGCAAGACTATTCCAGTCTGTTATTCATGTATACACAGCACCCCCCCCCCCCCCCAAAAAAAAACAACCCACAACTACCCCCCACCAACCTGCAACAGCAAATTTCAGTGCCTGGGTCTACAGACTGGGGCTCACATTACAGAACTAAAAATAGCCACAAACATTCAGGCTTGGGTCTGGAGCTCAGGCTATGAAGCCTGGAGGTGAGTGGGTTTCAGAGCACTATGGTTTTTAGTGCCACGGAGTGAGCCCCCAAGCCTGAGTCTGTAGACCTGGGCTCTGAGACTCACCGCTGTAGGTTTTAAAATGCAGTGTAGACATACCCCTTGGAATGCTAGTGACTCACTAATCTACACTAAACTGTTTCCAAGGGAAAAACAGAATACAACACTTAGACCGATTAGCAATCATGACCGGGGGGGGGGGGGGGAGAGAGGGAGTGGCACATGTGTGTATTTTTACTCTTGAAAAATCTTTACTAAGTAAGATGTTACCTCTTTCTTGAAATAATTTAAGGCACTAGATTGATTCAGTGACCCAATGGTTGAACTTTATCCCTACCATGCATGAGGACTCTGCTAAAATCCCCCTCTCCCTATATTATGGAAGGGAATTTTAGGTCACTTAGCACCCCTCCAGCTGATTAGATTCAAACTGCAAGCCCCCATTCAGCCCCAGAGAAGGTGGACAGCTGTGACAGGGACTGTTAAGGAAAACTGTGCTTGTGTGGAGTGCGCGCATAGGCAAAATTTCCCAGCATGCTCCTTGACATCCTACAGTGACACAACCAACTTCACTTAACCTAGGCAAATTTAAAAGAATGTCAGGTGCTCTCCTTAAGCCTAGGCAACCAAATGATCCCTCAATTTCAACCCATTCACAGAACAAAACTAACAGTCTTGAGGGAAGGGCAATATTCAAATGCCATGCTATGCAATTAAAACATGTCAAATGAGCTAGAGAACACTTCAAACACCCAAGACTGTTCTACCTACAGCACATTGCTGTATAAATCATAAGCAGACTCTGTTCTGAACGATCCACTTAGAGAGAACAGCAAGTTAGTGTGTTGTATTCACAGTAGAATGACTGGTGGTCTTGGGAAGAAATTAAGGATCGAAAGAAGAGGAACATAGAAAAAGTACTTACATATAAAGTTTGTAAAACTATGTAATACTTAGAGGGAGCACTGGGTGGGGTGTATGTACATGTGTATTATACATATTACCCAGATACACACATAAATATTTGATATATAAAAAATAAAGTGCTTTCTATGAGGTCCCAATGCAGGGACATTATAAAACATTTCACCAACTGCAAAACAAATTGATACAATCAAAGAATATTACATCCAACATACATGTAAAACAGAAACACGATATGTACAATCTGGCGGGTGTCCCAAGACAAACATCCCTTCATATACATGGTATATACAGATATACTCTTAGCTTTACTCAATATATTATGACAATATATATTTTAAAACTTTGTTAGAGACAAAAAACCCTACAAAAACGCAACAAGGATTAAGCACACAAGTCCAAGACTAACGGACAATTTGCTATTCTTGCCCACGTCACCATTTCCACTGTGGGGGAAGATGTGCCAGCGCTCTTTCCTGGGGTGCAGTGCCTCTACGTCCTGCAAAGCACGGTGAGCTGCTGCGGTGAAGTTAGCATCACCAGTGGTGAGCAGATCAAACACACAAGAGTAAAAATAGATGTCCTTCACCAGCATCTTCTCATGGCATTTGGTAGTGGCACTCTCCAGTGTGTACACAGACTGGGGCTGAGCAGAGGCAGCATGTGGAAGAAGCTGCCCCATAACGGGCAAAGGTAAGTGACCACTATCATCAATGCGTTCACTCGAGGGGCAGCCGTTCACACACAGCTGCAGGTCCTGGCTTTCTTCATAAGCCATGGCCAGCTCTTCTGGCATGCGAATGGCCAGCGTTAGGTAACGTCCAACTTGGCGCACAAACACAGTGGTCCCGATGTACCTGGCGTGCATCTCCATGTATCTGCCACTGACTCTCTCCACTATGCGCAAACTCTTGGTGTCACTGTCTCCTCCACTTGTTGTGCCATCTACAAAAGCCGCCGGTAGGTCATCAGTGACTGCCTGGTACACCTTCTGCTCTGTGCAGTCCTGGTATGATTTAAAGATAATAGTTATCTGGAAGAAAACAAGGGAAATTAGAGGGGAAATTCATCTCAAAACCATTATCACCACTGTAGAATGACCAAGGGTTGAATAGCTGCCCATCAAGCCCATGCTGACCATCATTCGTTCCTACAGCAGAGTATATCTAACTGTGCACCCATTCCCAAAACCCTAATACATAGTCTAGCAGAGGGCAACTTAAAATGGAATTCTTAAATTAGCAGGAAATCCACAATAGAGGAGGACAGCAACCAGAAAGAGGCCAAAAAGGGAACAGGCTATATACATCACTGAGAGCCACAGCTCCCTCAACACTTTGGAACTCAGTCTCATGGAGCTGTATGTGCCAAATAATTCCCATGCCACTATCTTCTGTGGTACAACCAGTTTCTCTCCATTGAAAGAGGAGTGTACTCTAATGCAATTAGCAACCAGAGGGTAAGGGGTGCCACTGATTATGTGAACATGGACAGAATATTCACTGTACCCTCTCTAATATATAGCTAACCCTTGCAACAACCTGAAAATGCTGTAGAACGAGCACAGTATTATTTCAGCCATCAATTCAGTAGGCATGCAGTGACTAGCTACTCTTCTGTAATTATTTGACAATCTGCTTTTTGTTATTCAGTGTTTGGATTTAGCCTTTATAAACTGGGAGATTTGACACCTCCAGTCCACTAGCAGCTACAGAACATATGTATTACAGGCAGAAGGGAAATAAAATAGGTGGGCTTATACAAAAATACACCATTCTGAACAAGATAATAAAAGTGCAGAGCAAACTTTGCTTTATTTAAGAGGTGGCTTGCAAAGCGCACCCAGAAGTTTGTGCCTTTTTATTATGCAAACAAATGGCTTCTTAAATCTAAGACGTTTGTTATTTAAAAATCACACAATAGAAATCAGATCCTCCAGTCTTCACAGAGGGAAGCAAGCAGGTTATGTTATTACATTATTTGTTAGGGTCCCTAGAGCTCTGTAGAGGGCTCTTATTTTTATTTAAATAAATGGCATGTCTGCAGTTTCCTTCCAACAGTGAAGAGGAGAAAAAATACTGAGTTGAACAGTCTAAGGATTTTTTTAAATACAGAAATAAGCAGTATTTTAATATCTGTATGTTCACACTTGACAAACTATATACATCATAAAGCAGGAGAAAAATGACAAACTGCAAAGCAATTTTAAGTACATTGCCAAGAGATTCAAAGTACTCCAAAATGTGTTTGTGAACATTTTCCAGCACTATGAACGTGTTCAGTTTCTAGCAGCCTTTGAATGTTTTAGTTTCAGTTAGCCACCATACTAGTCCACATCAGCTTTTGTTTCTTACCTCTCAGCTTTGAAACACAAGAGTTAAGACTCAAACAGCTGGAGTACAGTCAATCGGAACACCACCTCTCCCTTCTAGGAGGAGGAAGATTAACTTTGTGCCCTTCTTCACTTTCATTTACTAACAGCAAGAAGATTTCCCTTACTATCACCTCCTCTCTCTAGTCCAAACCCTCTTCAAAATACAATATTTAGTTTTAATGTTTCAACTGCCCCAGTTAGTTAGCATTATATTCTCACACATACTGACAGAGCATTCACTATTTTAGTTCCACATGTTGCCACTGGTACTGTCTGACTGAAATTTTCCAATGATTTTTCTTTGCTTTAATCAAGTTATACAGCTGGTCCCAAGCTTGCTGTAGTCAAGCAATCTGTGAAATTCATACGCCTGAGCCACAGCTGAGATTGAAGGATTTTGTTCAAAATCCAGACAATATATGAAGTATTTACTCCCCCTTAGAAAGTCACTGCTTTTGTCTAGTGTAGTGAGCCCACTATTCCACTTTACTTCCAATCTTTTATGTTTAGTTCAGTCCAGCAGCCCAGAAGGGAGATATCCTGGACACTGTCTCCTGAGTAATTTGCTGTGCATCGGATTCCCGTGCTTCAATAAATGAAGCTTCCAGAAAACTGCTTTCATACAATACTGCAAAAACAGTTTAATCTAAGGCCCTGGACACAAATGGCACAGCAATGGTAGTGTTCTTTAGGCACATTCTCAACACTCTGCAAGAGAAGAATGATTTATATCCCAGCTGAAGGAAAATTCTGTGCAAGACTGTCCAGCACCTGAGTGAGTCTGAGGTTAACAGCTCAAATGGCTTTAAAGACAACACAGAACTTGCTTTTCCATATAACCACCCACGCTAATTTCCTAACAATCATATCAATAGGCTCCATGACTGACTTAATGCTTCTCTAAGTGCTGAGTAATTTGTCTCTAGTTTCTCAAACCTAAATTTCAATCAGTTGGTCCTGCTTGTGCAGAGGGACACTTTTCCTCATGGTCTTCACCAAGCAGAGAATTTGGATGTGACAGAAGGAAACAAACATTTGTACTCTGCTTCTGGCAAGATACAACAGAAATAAGGAACAGTCCCCAACTGCTCTCATTAGGACTCTGCTTTCTTCATCAAGGGTAAAACGGATACACAGGGAGAGAAAGGCCTACACACCACTCCAGTCCTGCAATGGTGTTGCACAAGGAGCACAAGCTGAATAGCTATGAAAGGGCAGGGTATATACTCTCTGAGGTCTCCACAATGTCCCCAAACTGGCTAGCAAAGAGATGGCCACTGAAATGTGCTAGGCTTCACACTTAGAGATACAGTGGGCTAGAAGCAGTGTTTAAATTGTGCCAGGTCTTGCCATGGCTGAGCCCTGGCATCTCTAGGCTTGGCAGTTCATAGGCCAGCACCCCTGGGCTTCCTGCATCAGTTATGAATAAAAAAAATTGCTTGAGTCTCGGCACCTCTCATTACAAATTAAGCACTGGCTAGAATACCCACTTGTGATGGATTTAATACTCCTTACCCAACTTCCTTCCTCTTGATTCTCTGCACCCCACACCTGTAGAGTACTCCATTCCTGGACTTTTGGGGGGGTGGGGGGCAGAGGTGAATTTCACCCTAAATCCCTCCCTCTGCTGCATCAAACTGTATTTTAAAAACAGATGGATATTTAATCATCATTTCAAAATCTTTGCATCTAAGTTTGCCTTTTGTTACTGTGTGCACATATAACACTTGATGCAAGCCAAGTAAACTCCCACACACAGCTGTTGCTCTATTACAGTGTTCAAAGATCAGAAAAAAAAAGCCAGAAAGGAATTCCAACTGCGGGAAGTACCTTAATGTATTTGCATCTGTATGAAGGAAACACTTTCATAAAGCAAAGTCAGTCTGCCAACCAAGTGTTCTGGGCATGCGTGGTGCTCTCAAAAGTTACTGCAATTATTAGGATGAACCACCCCAAAACAACACTTCCCATTCCCACTCTAAACCAAAAGCTCTAAGCCAGCCTCAGTTACATAAAGGTTATGTACAAAAATCGTAAATTTCTACTCAATGTTTTGGGCTCAAACTTTCCACTGCTTGGTCTCATCTGAAAGACAAATGTGTTTCTGGGATGAGCAAAATCCTCTCCACTTTCAGTTTGCTGAACACACAAAAAAGTTACTTTAAAAAACAAATTCTTCTTTTGCATAAAGACCTCATGAAGAGCCAAGTTTTTGAAGGTGAAACTTTCCCAAGCTGCTAGTAAATACAGGAAGATTCTATGGGTTCTCTCAAATACGGAGCAGCTACTGCTTCTCCATCCGTTTACTTATAAAACTATACACCTTTTTATCCATGTTAGCTACAACATTTCAGCCAACATGTTTTAAAAATACTTGCATTATGGGGCTCATCTGGACTAGGATTACAACTACGGTACTGGAGTCAGACTTTAGTTGGAGTGGTTTGGTGCTGCTATTTCACTGCAGCGTTCCACAGCTGTGTACACTTGAATTTTCCACAACTGGAACAAGGAGCTAACATTTTAATCTTTCCCCTTCAAGAGGGAGAGATTTTAATAAGATTACCAGTACTGCAGCTCCTTATTAGGCTTTACTTTAACTCTCTTGCATTCAGCCATCAAAATGTTGTTAAGTACTCGTAACTGTGCACCACCACAGGGAAGCAAAAAGACTTTCACTCATATGACAAAAACCAGGGAAATTCAATGCAGTAACTAATTTTGTAGTTACATTTTCAGCCCAAAAGATAACTGAAGAGCTCCCCTTCCTTAAGAACCCAACTCAGCCATATTAAACATACTAAATTCTCTTCTCAGATTCATAAATTAAAATCACATTTATTTGAAAAGGGAGTGATGCACACAGCAGGGAGCAGAATTGGGGCAATTTTTTGGGGGGTGGGAAGGGAGGGCATGTTAATAGCAGATTGTAAAACAAACAGTATGTGCAACATGAGTGAGTTAGCATTGCTGCTAGAACCTTGGATTTTTTTTTTTAAGTATCTTAATTTTAGTGTAGTTAGCTCCTCAGCTTGCATTACCAAATGCAAAAATGTTATTTTATACATGAGGTTTTGCAGCTTGTATTGCATCACCTCCTCCATTGTGCAGGAGACATGCAAGCTATTAGCCCAAACAAGTGTTAAGTCATTTTTTAAATCTATATGTAGTATTCACATGCTTACATTAATTCCTGTTTTTCCTCTTAAAAAGAGAACACTATCAAGACTGCAAGTACCAACATTTAAACACCCACCTCCTTCCTTTACTATGTCTGTTTACCACCTCCATGGAATTCCTAGTCATTTCCTCTCTCCCACAATGTCTGGTTTTCTATTCTATATAGATTCTTATACCTCTCTCATTACCAAAGTATCGGAACACCTTCCAGGAGTGCATTAAGCAATGTGACTAATATGGGTTACATATTTGCTATTTCCCCTTCACCTCCCCTCTTTAGGAGTTACAGAAACAGCACATTTCCTATACACACACACACACTCTTCTACCTGGTGTCCTTGGAAACATTTTAGTCTCTGAAAGAGTGAGCCTCAACACAACATCAGTATTGCTTACTTGTTTGTATAAACTAATCCATATACTGCAATAACTCAATTTGGCACATTTGCACTATACCACCCCATTTATTATTGATGGAT